GAATTGTATCTCTAATCACATATCATATTGTGTTGTATTATATCATTCATCATATTTTATCAGTCTGTCATAAGTCATTAAAAACTGCATATTTAATCACACATTGTATCTTTTCAAACATATTGTATTGTATCATTTATCAATTTAAATCATATATCATTGTATTTTCTAGTAAAAAATTACATCATAATCATATCACACTGCATCACATACCTTTTATTTTATATCATTTTTTATCATAGTGTACTGAAATGTTTCAGACTGCAATGGAATATAAGATTTATCACATAGTATTGTGTCAGAATGTATCGAATCATATTTGTATTGTATGTTTGTACTGTATCTGACATTGTAATGACTCATTTATATTACATTGTGTCTTACATTTTGTTAATTTGTATCATTTATCACACATATACAGTACCATATTGTATCATCCTGCTTCACTATTTGCTCCAACAATGAGATCACTTCATTTGATGGTTCAGTATCAGGAATGGGCATTGAGTCTTGAGTATTGATTGGATCCAGAACTAAGATTTTGATTCTCCCAGAATTGGTAAAATTGAAAAAAAATGATACCTAGTTTTGATACCCAGTCCACTGACTGGAGGAAGAAGCCGTTGAACGCCAACGGAGAAGGATTCGTAAGTAGTGTGGCGGCCATCTAAAGTGTGGCTTAACTTTAATAAAAGTATAAGATTGTACTGTGCATAGGAGAGCACACAACCATCATGATTAAACACTGCTTATGGGTTCATGATGTGTCACAGAGTGTCCCTGCACAGGCTTTCTTCTGCTGACATACGTATATTGGCAAGTAAAAATATTAAAATACATCTAATACCAACACTGAGGCAGCTAACTGGTTATACACGACGTTAAAACTGTACCATTAGCTCAGTAACAAGTTTGAGTACCTGCAGCATCAGACACTGGATATATGTGAATGTGTTTTCATGAGGTTTTTGAAAATAAAGCTCTGATCCCCATGAAAAGAAAATTCAGTCATTCAACATTTATATTCAAGTTCAAAGGTTTGATATTTATAGAGTGGTTGATACTAGCCATCTGAGTAAAGTTCATAATAGTAAAAGGTTCAGAGAATTAAAATTCTTAGAGAAGGGTCGGCTGTGGCAGAGTGGTTAGGTTAGGGGAGTTGTCCTAGAACCTGAAGGTCACCGGTTCAATCCCCCATCAGCTGTCTCAGTTGTTGTGTCCTTGGGCAAGATACTTCACCCCCAATGCCTCTGATGTGTACGAGATCTAGTAGAGTGCTGTGTGAATGGGTAAATGAGGACACAAATTGTAGTGGGAAGCCCTTTGAGTGTCCTGGTTGGGTAGAAAGGTGCTACAGTATACAAGTACAGTCYATTTACCATTTAACACTAGTTAGCTACCTCATTTAAACCATGTAAACCTTTTTTTGACCTGGCCTCTAAAATGACTCAGAATCGCTAAGAACTGGAATTGTTCAAATTTAATCAATACTGTTGTGGAAAAATTATCTTATTATCAAATAATTACACAGAAAAATGTGATCAATGAAGTTTCTTCCCAGAAATGGTCGATGTGTTTGTTTTATTGCAATAAAATGAGCGCAGGTCAAACTGTGTCAGTTCAGTCTCTATGAACRCACGAAATACGCAGCTGATTATACAATACTTTATACATACATTTGAAGAAGTGAAAAACATCCATCCATTATCTATACCCACTTCTTCCTTTCAGGGTCACGGCAGTCACTAGTGCCCATATCCTGCAGCCACAGTGCGAGGGGCAGGGTACACCCTGGACAGGTCATAAGTCCATCACAGAGCCAAGAAGCTTGAAGAACCAAAACATCAAACTTGCGACTTAACCTTAAGTTGAACCATATGTCTTGTTTTCATGCATAGCAACACCTCAAATATACATCATGTGTTCAGCTGAAAACAGGAACAGGCCAGACGTTTAAAATGTCAAAAGCAAAGTACAATACTTTACATTAGAATACCCAACCCTATTCAGTGTACAAAGTGAACCTAAAACAAGTCCAGTTCATCAGCAGGTGATATTTTTCTTAACTATGCGATGGATTTAGGATTTAGTCTCTACAGCCATGACAACAAACAAAAAATAAATCAAACATTAAGTTAATATAAAATTAATTAATGGTCTGGCAGGCAAAGTGTAGTTCTGAATTAACTGTAGTTCACTGTTCCACTTGGTCAGCTTTACATCCTCATGGACAACGTAGCCAGATGGCCCTTTTCTGACTGTCAGCATTTGTCTCACACATAGATGCACAGTTACAAGAGGGTGCATATGCGCACATGCTCGCAGTCCTGTTATCCAAACCACACAGGCATTTACAAATGATAAGATGTTCTAAAAGATCAAAGCAAACTGCAGAGCTAAAACTATACCCGTTTGACTCCGGATGACTGCATGGTTACGCATGCAGCGCTATCACTTTCAGACACGCCACACTTTGGTACACGGCTGGCTATTGGACACCACTCCCACTTGGGCCGGTGTGTTTATAAAGAGAGTCCCCAAACACTGGAAATCAATATCGTCTGTCAGCTTTTTAGTGTGTCCATGGAAAGAGCAGAGACACGGGGACTGTGGAGAGAGAGCTGCATCCGTCCATCAGACTCTCTGCAACCGCCAACAACTTTGATTGAACATGACAGAACGAGAGCATGTGAGGACGGTCCAAATCTACCAAGATAGAGACATAAACACCTATGATGTGGGTCCTTTCTGTGCATTTGGTGCTTTTTCCTCCCATCAAACAGAGGCACAACAAAATGTGTAAAAGAAACAGATCGTGGGAACAATCTTCGGTACCACTTTACAGTAAGGCTCCCCTTATGGATTTTAAAGAGTTTATAGATAAGTTATTAATTAATCTGTAAACACTTTATAAATTATTATTAAATGTTTATTATGCAATAATTAAAGATGAGAAAGAGACAAAACTGTCCAGTTTCTTAACAAATAATGAGACAAATCTGTTCACGTATCTAAAGGTCCTATATTAAACATTTCAGACTAGTTTACTACCTTGTAAGCACAATGATGATTAGGAAACACATATTTTAACATATATTGTACTGTTTTACTGCATTATAAATATCCACAAATATTAAAGGGATCCTTATTTTAAAGTGTAAAACTGAACACTATTTTGGATGGGGTGGGATTATTTGGTATTTTAACATGACATACTTTTTTGGTAAATCATCATTGTCGACAGTAGTTATATGTTTGAACAATAGTTTCAAATATTGATAATCAACATGAAGTTTTAAATATGGTGATTTTTCACAATAAAGACTAACTTTTGGCATTTATAAAAGTTTATTTGTCATTAATGAATAGGCTACTGTGCTACACTTTACAATAAGTCTCCCTTTGACAGTTGTGAATATTTATAAGACAGTAATACAATACAATATTAATTAAAGTATATATAGTTGTTGTGCTTACAATGCAGTAAACTAGTCTGAAATGTTTAATATAGTACCTTTAGATATGTGAACAGCTTTTTCTCATTATTTGGTAAGAAGCAGGACAGTTTTGTGGTTCTCGTCCTTAATTATTGCATAATAATTCAATTCAGTTCAAAATTCAAAAATACTTTATTGATCCCAGAGGTAAATTTGGTAATAATAACCATTTATTAATGATTTATAAAGTGTTTACAGCTGAATTAATAACCTATCTATAAACTCTTTATAAGCCATCTATAAGGGGAGCCTTATTGTAAAGTGGTACCCAATCTTCATATATCTACAGTACAGTCACGCACAGGTCCCCACAAATACTGTAGTTTTAAATAAGAGTGCGGTCGCATGCGAGGCAAAGCACCTAATTGCTCTGGCAGCCATTGAATGATGACAACGGCCACGGTGGGAGTTGGCGAGACTTTGTCTGAATGTATGTAATTATTCAGCACAAAAGGAGGGGCCACATGGTGCCAGAGCAGATTTACTGTGTCTGTGGTCAGTGCATTCAGTGGGGAATCTAATGATGAGCACTTAGGGGCTAAATTACCACTGCATTGTTTACCTCTGCTCATACAAATGCAGGCTCCGCCGAGAGCAGAAAAGCGAGAACGTGCAAGAGAGTTCGCTGAAACTTGTAAATTAAAGCCAATGATCTGATGGTGCAGAGCAGCCCTGGAAGGAGATGAATGGAAGCAGAGGCAGGGGAGAGGCTGAAATGTCTTTTTTGGTGAAAGCTCCTTCTCTTTACATGCTGCTGACAGCTAGCCTGTGAACAAATCCCAGGATAAAATGGTGGAAAGCTCAAACTTGAGACTCTAAGACATTTCAAGCTGCAGTATTTTCAGTATGAACAGCAATACAACATAGACTTAAATAAAAAAATCCACAACCCCTATTAAATTTGCTACAAACCCAGTTTTTGGCTAGAATATCGTGATCACAGGCTGTTTAGATGTAAATGCCATTGTTAAAACCTATAAACTCAGGACTTATGCAATGATTTAGTTTCCCTCTAACCATCACTTGTGACAAAAGCATCCATCTGAGCCTCTGTCAGAGGTCATTTACATAATGAAAGAGGAGAATTACGAAGGAGGCTGAGGCAGGACGAGCCTGTCATTTGGCAGAGAGAGGAAATGAAGATGGAGGGAAAATGCTTTGGCAAGAAAGCGGCACTGGGCAGTAATAATGCAAAGAGAGCGGCAAAATTGGAGTGAGGGATAAAGGTGGAGAGTGGAGGAGGCAGCAGAAAGAGAAAGACAGTGGCGAGGCTTGGAGAGTGAGGGCTGCTGAACCATAGGAAGGGAAGGAAAAAAAGGATGAGCTCAAAGTCTGTTAGATAAAAAGTCAGATGTTATGTTTGACTGAGGGGCAGGGGGGGGTGCCATGACAGATTGAAAAGWTAGCACAGTGAGAACAAAAAAAAAAGAGTAAGAGAAAAGAGTGAGCGATTGAGAGGAGTCCAAGATAAGTCAGAGGATCACCGATGTCTCAGCGTCTTACCTTGGCTGACGCCGAAGCCACGGATCCCGCTCCCGTGATGCCTCGCTTGACCGCGAGGTCACCGCTCGACGTTGTCACGGCAACCGTGACTGGGGTGGGGAGGAGGGAGGGGATGACCGGGAGGGGAAGGAGCCCCGGACGGTTGTTGCCATTGACAACGGCGGAGGCACAGCTGTGGTTGGCTCCTCCGTTGTGGAGGCCGGACGGACGGATGTCTCTTCGCTCCCAGGGACCACGGTAGTCCCTCTCGTAGCGGTGGTGGTGACGTGACATCACTTCCTCTCAGCAGGAACAACAGGGGCAGGCCTGCGTACAAAAAAAAAGGGAACAGGAGAGGTCAGGATGACATTCTGGTGGTGGAAACAGGAATAGCTYGCATGAAGAGAGAGCTTTTAGCAATGAGAAAAAACTCATCAGGTGAATTAAAGAGAGAACACCCTGACATGAAGGTGTAAAGGCTCCCATGGTAACAAACTGACACAAAAGATATTGTGGTTCATTTACTGCCACTAACTTCTCATTCTCTCAGTCATTAAAGGGATCCCTGATTAGTTGTAACATTAGACTTTATTTGATAAATATATATTTTAACTGTAAAATAACGACTTTAAAAATACTGTAGGCTATTTAAATTTGTAATTTTTTAAAATCTATTTTAACACAGATGGAGCCATTTTATTTACACGCAAAGCATTCTGGGTAAATGATGACATCAACTAGGTCATCGGTGCGAGGCTGCTAGCGAGCTATATCCACCCTGAAGGTTAATCTTGGACAATATCTGATGATCGACTCTTTTAAATGAAACCAGAGAGCGTTGACAGAGAGGAGAAGGTAGAAATGACTCAGCCTGTAACTGAAAATATRGATGGAGGACAACAGAGCTGCTTCATGGAAGAAGAACCTCAGCTTAGTCTGTTAGCTTTAGCATTAGCACCAACACTATATGTATTAGCTCGGCGCTAGCGCGACGAACAAGCTGCACTGAGGTCCTCGATCCATATTTTCAGTTGCAGGCTGAGTCATTTTTGCGTTCTCCTCTCTGTCATGTGGATGGAGGACCTCAGTGACGAGAGGAGAATGTGTAGCACTGAGCTAATACATATATATATGGTGATAGCATCGAGGCTAACGCTAAAGCTAACAGGCTAAGCTGAGGTTCTTCTTCCATGAAGCAGCTCTGTTGTCCTCCATCCGTCCAGTCGACTCGGTCGTCTGTCAGTGTGCCCCAGGGCAGCTGTGGCTACAATTATATTTTGCCATCATCAGTGTGTGAATGTGTGTGTGCATGGGTGAATGTCTGCAGTGTAAAGCGCTTTGAGTGTCCTGGATGGATAGAAAGGCGCAATGTAAGTGCAGTCCATTTACCATCCATTTAAAAGAGCCAACCGTCAGATATTGTCCAAGATTAACCTTCAGGGTGGATATAGCTCGCTAGCAGGACCTATCCACGTCATCATTTACCCAGAATGCTTTGCGTGTAAATATAATGGCCCCGTCCGTGTAATATATTTTTATATTATTATTTTAATATATTTTTAAACTTTTAGTTTAAAAATTATAAAAACTAAACAGCCTACAGTATTTTTACAGTMTTTATTTTACAGTTAAAATATAAGTTTATCAAATAAAGTCTAATGTTACAACTAATTGGAGATCCCTAATGAGGGCTCAAATAAGAGGCGGGGAGCTAAGCACTCCCTTAAACGACACAAGCTGGTTAAATTTGTACATGAAGCATGTAGTTCCAACAACAGGAGGTTAAAACAACATGGAGGGACAAAAAAACAAACAGGTCTACACATTCGTTCCCCAACCCCCAAGGGCAGCGCAGCAGCAACATGACCTAGCGGTCGAAACTCTTTCATCTGAATAGATAAATACCCCCGCAATTACAGCTCATCTCATACATCTAATGGCTGCTTAATTCAATCACGCTGCCCTTGAAGTGCATTTGAGGGTTCTCCCTTTTTCCAGACACAGCAGGCTGTGACAGGCTAAGAGGCGACAGTGAGCCGGAATTACATCAGTATGGAGTGCGGTGCTATTGTACTGTACGAGCAGCGTATCGCTCTTATATCATAAATCAAACACATACACGATGTAAAAGGGGAGCGGAATCCATCACTGAGGGGCTTTGAAGCACATTGTGCTCCGCCGCACCAAAAGGCGCATTATGCTTACGGAGCCGCTGATAACAGATGAAATAAATAAATAACAACCTCAAACCAGGTTGCGCGAGCCCCCCCCCCCCCCCCAATGCAAAATCCCCTGGTCTGTGAGGAGAGAATGACAGCGAATGATAAGTCTTTCTTCTGTACGCCGGGGTCTGTCACGCTGCTTTCTCTGCCTCACAGAGGAGAGAACGCCTTAAAATGCCAGCGTCTATGTGCACATCTGTGTGTGTGTTCAAAGGCTTTGCTACAACTGGATGACTGTGCATCTGTTAGTGGAGCATGTGTTGAAAACTCCACAGTAGTATGAGATGATGCCGGTGCAGGCTGGGAATGAAGACTTCCTTACGAAGCTTTGAGGCTACAGATACGATGTGCAGCCTGTGCTGGGAGCTTTGGCACAACTGTAACTTCACTTGCTGCAACCAGTTATTTCTATGGCCTTTTAGATGTGTCATTTCTTATTCGCCTGCTGCCAAATAGAAAGAGGGGCAATGATGTTTTTGCCCAYGTCTGCCTTTTACCCAATTAACCCATGAACTGGACAACTTTTATTACATTATTTATTAGAGCTAATCAAGCCTATTGTTAGGCGATGGCCCTCTTTTGCATGTGACTAACCGGTTTGTCCATGTGGAGGCAGTGCTTATAAGGCTGAGTTCACCTGAAACTCATCAGACTGAAGAAGTCTCTTGGAGGAGAGAAGAAACGTTTCACTAAAGAAGAACCCATCCAGAGGACCTACTTATTTTTTCTATTTTGATTTAACTTTTATTACAGTTTGTAGAAAGTAATCATTTGGCCTCATGCAAGAACATGTTCGTATTCTTATCCTTAATTTCTCTTACTTTTGTTCGTACGAAGTGCTCGTATAAACAAGTCAGATTCAACAAACTTCTATCTTCAGGAAAAGTGTGTAAGTGAGGAGCGTAAACTGATGAATGTGTATCAGGTGCTCGTGCACGGGGAGGGGTGATTAGCATAATCTACCATCCTAAAATCACCACATAAGGCTACGTTTCCTGCCCCACATACCAGTAAGTGTTCATTCATAAATGACATAGCAAAGTAAAAAGAAGAACTTTACGAGTTCGGAAACTGAAGTCCTCCTCTCAGAGATCAGAAAAAAAGTTATTTTTAGCAGCTTCAGACCTGCTAAAGTCGAGGAATGAAATTACGACTGCTGTTAATGTCGTGTCTCCTGTGGGTCGTTACAGTCACAGAAATTAACATCTAAATCATATTCATCTCTCTCTAGTCCTGCTCTGGTTTTTCTTTGGTCAAATATTTTTAACTTAAGTGTAAACAACTGTGTTACATATTTTTCATTTATTCAGAAAAAGAGCAGTCACGCACTGCTACCCCAGCATGGCCGTCTCCCCCTCCCTCGTCTCGTCTGAAAAAAAAAACATTTTAAAACGTCTCCAAACTTCAATTAATGCATAATTTAAGTTGGTTTTTAGTTTGAGATCTTCAGGTAACTGATCACAGAAAATGGCTCCCCTAGCTGTGGAACTAAATTCTTCCTGGATGTTTACATCGACTGAGGGTCTGCCCCCCCACCTGATCTGTTTCCTGGAGCAAACTGAGGGCCGCACAGAATGAACAGTTACCATCCATATTCTGAACTACACTGTCAGAAAAAAAAGTACTAGATTGTACCTTTATGGGTACATTGGCTTGTCACTGGGG